TAGCATTATTGGCTCAGCTATATAGTGTGTTCACCCTCTTCACACGTGATATTATCTAACCCAACCAGTAAGGCTTCTTGACAATATGTGGGTGAATTTTTTCATTTGTAAAATAGTTTCAAACCAAGTATTTGGTTACAACATTTAAATTCAACGTAATTTAAATCTACGATACAATGTGGGCAAACTACTATGTATTCTATCTAAAATAATAGGCCTAACACTTAATTATAATTTCCAATAACAATTGACAAAACATATATTTGTTTTAAACTAATATAATTAATGTGATGAGGTAATCATTGCCAACCAACTATAGGCCTACCTACTTAAGCATATCTCAGTAAAAATAAAATTAATTACATTTTTAATGAGGCGCACTGAATTCCGTCAGACATGACTAAAACAAACGGCATCCTAAAAAACATGTACACAAATACATTAGATTACTGTAAAAAAATTGTATATTTCATCACTAGGGCCTAAAGTGACTCTTTTTGACCCGAGATCAAGTTTTACGATCGAGGCGAAGCCAAGGTTGGAAAATGAGTGAGGGTTAAAAAGACACTTTTTGCACGTGTGGTGAACTATATTTTTCGTCATATTGCATCATTAATTGACAAACAACGCTAGAAAACGAAATAATTTTTATGTAATGATAACCTCTCAAAACGACTTCCAGCTTGTTTAAATTCTGCCAATGCAAATAATCAGCTTTAAGTATATCAGTAAGTGATTCAATTGTTCGTCTAATACGATTGTGTACATTATAACATCGATATGTCGAGCAATCGACTACAATAGGCTAAAACATTACCTAATAAATCAATCGATAAATAATTTCGATCGATTCGATTGCCACAATCGAAATTTACAACTGTTTACAACAGCTGATTTTTACTCCATAGATACTAAAAATGAAGGGAGTAAAAATGGTACTTTAGACTCGCAACGCATGCATAAAAGGGACTGTTTTTGCTGCAGTATGACGAAAACTAAATTTATACCAACTAAAGCGAAATACAGTAGTGAGGTGGAAAAGTACTCTGTCGAGGAATATATGGCTATACAAAACAATTATTTTGGTATTTTTTTATTTAGACCTACTACTTTCATCCACTTTTAATGTTGATGCACGAGGTTTTAACCCTACATTTATAATAAATTTTTCGCAGTAGTCCAATTTGTGTTGTTGAAATTCATCGTAATCAGGATCAACAAAACCTGTAAAATAGTAACAATTAAAACAAAAGTGCACACTTTATACAGCTTCTTTACCACAGTCAATTCGCGATGACTCACTCTTAATCTGGCACGTTTCATTACCACGTGTTGCGCCAACTCTTCAACTCGTGCACGTGTCGGAAATAGAACGTTCACGTAATGGAAACTTCCGATCTAAACATCCTAGCGGACCCTGGTCCGTTACCTGTGCTGGGATGTGGGAACCCGAACATGTGGGCTACGTGACTAGTCACACGCTCTCACACGCGCTCTGCAATGGGACGTGATATTTGCAAACGTATAGTAAATCATTGCTGTTGCTACTTAGGAGTCGAAAATTTTAGGCAAGTAATCAGGATTTCTTTTTATGGGGGGCTAAGTTGATGGAGGAGTCGGGTCTGCCCCCTAAGTAAATTAAATAAAAAAATAATAACGATGATTAGTAGAAATAACAAATAATTAATAAGTGCCGAAGCCTCTCAAGCCCCCCCCCCAAACCCGTCAAAGTGCCTGATCAGTGTGAAATTGATAACTTCCCTAGAATTTATTGATAATCGATAATTGAATTGATTACGAAATTGGAACTTCATCGTTAGCTGGGTAATTAGATTTGTGAAGGAACATTGAAAATTAAATTTTGAACTAGAATATTTAGTTCTGGCGTTGAATACATGATAATCAATAAATATTAATGAAACGAAAATACATTTTACTATGGAAAAGTATTTGAAGAAATGTACAATTAATTACGTGTTTGTATAGGGGGTCTATTCCTATTGGTCTATTCAATTTTGAATGTAAAAAAATACTAGAGGTTAGTTATAACCAGTTCACACCTCCCTCTATTCATATTCACACAAAACGTATGCTGCAATCTTCTGAGAAATTTCGTTAGTAATTAATTGTATTGCAATAAACAGAGTTTCGTCGACTCTAGTTTATTTAGGAACGTTTTCGTAAAATCTCACTTTTACTACTTTTTGTATCGATTGTAAAATTATTGTTTTACTTTTCACCTATTGTAAATATGCCGTTGGTTGTGTGTAGGCCTACACCAAATTACAGTGAATATGCTTTATCAATGTCCAACAATTAGACAACAAAATTAAAATGCGTAATCTAAATCAAAAAATTCCAATCAGTTGCGGAATACGTCTCCGGTAAAATGTTGGCACAGCAAACAACCTTGGAGACGGTTCTGTATTATCGGGGGCAAGTCATCGAGAGCGGTGTGCGGTGTTGGCGTGTACGGAGACGCGTGACGAAGCGCGCGGCGAGAAACGTGCGCCGAGGTTATACAAACTCCCGCCAGACTGCTCCCAGTGACGCGCCAAAAGTACAGCCACTAGCCAAGTAGCCAGTCACTCAGCCACTTCACTTCAGTTCAGTACAGTGCCGCGGAAAGTGAGGTTAGTTCCGCGTAGTGCTCTCGCCAGTGATAGTGTGACAAGTAACTGTTATCGCGAGTGAACAATGGTTACCCAAAGTGCTACTATTTTGGAGCGGCATCTTCTAATGGCCGGGGAGCCCCCACCGTTACACAGCACTGATTTTCAGAAACTCGCCACCGTGCTTTCCAAAAGGAAGGTGTTGGCTAAAGAGGTGATTAACAAAATTTTGTCTAATAGTTTTACAATGGGAAAAATATTTTGAAATAATTGTAATGAGGTTGGGGAAACTTTTAACAAATTTCAAAAGTTTTAACTAGAAATACTGTTTACATAGGAGGCTTTCAAGTCACTTGATGACAAGAGGTGTACCTTGGAGTATGTTTTTTTTTTTTCATCTATGATATACCATTGACTATTGGATACTGAAGATATTACTCTTATGCTGGCAAGTCTTTTTGCTAAAGCCAAGGAAACTTCACGCAGTCTTAAGTGTTATTTCAAAAAGTGTTAAATCCAAAAGTGCAAAACCATGCTATACTGTATTTAGAGATACTTTGGACCTCTACTACACAGTTATGTGTGCTTAAATAATTACCCTACTTGAAACTAACTATAGAAGAAAAAATACTTAGAAACTAAAAAAAAATACAGGAGTTAGTTATCATATTTTGTTAAACAGAGATTTGTTGCTCAAAAATTATTATATTTTTCAATTAAACACCATTATAATAATTGATTGAAAGAAATTTCTCTAAACTACATTTCCTTTGGATTTGTTTAAAACCTCATTTATACTGTTATGTTGTTTAAAATCTCTCCCTATTAAAAATTTGCGTAGAGTATGAGTAGTAAAAATGAATGAACTAAATAGGTATATATAGCCTATAGTTCTCAATATTATTTTTAAATTTGTTCATTTATTGATAGAAAACCACCCACAAATTACATTAACCCCTGTGGTACGAAGGTGCGCAGGTTACGAGGTGGCTTTACCATTTGGTTTAGTTCTCAGGTGCTTACCTCTCAATTTTTTTTTTTACTAAAAATGATGAAACGTTACAAATTTAATTTTTTCTCAGTTTAAAGATTTTGTTGAAAGCAACAAAAAAGAGGTAATCAGGAATGTTTTTATTACTTAACTCCAGCAGACATTTGCTCTCAAACAAAAACATTTAAATATTTTGTTTCTAGTGTAGGAATCAATCGCTAAAGCCCTATACACATTAAAACTAACATCTACCGACAGTGTCAGCTACATTGATAGTATACCATTAGCTGATCTAACTATACAAATGAAAAATGTTAACGGAATTGGGAGTTTGTTTAATCTTTAGCTCAATAACTTGTCATCTCATTTGATTATGGCGTGGCGCAAAATAGTGTAAACACTCACACAACCACAACCTGATAAAGACAGGACAATGTGAGGCTGTTTTTCAGTGAAAATTCCATTGACCATGACATGATAATTTTTGTTAATTCACTTTCAATTCCTCTACTTTGATTGTTTAAAATTCTGGATTAACTGGTCGATCACTAAAAGACATTGCAGAACTTTCTAATTTGGCTCCTAATTTTAAATTGACCTGGTCTGACTCTGGAAGTAGTGGGACCATAATTAATCCAAAGTGCATGTTAGTCTTTTATCAATGACAGCGTTTTGCCAATCAATTTTGGCCACTGAATTGCTCATCCCATCTATATGTACCGAGCGGTTTTTTTTATTTGTATTTTAATTGGGGCGACGGCGACAGAGATATAAGGTACAGTGGTACAGTAAACTTTCTTATGGGATTACTGTGCGCTTTCAGCTAGTAAGTTGTGTGTGCGCGTACATACCTGCTAGGGCAATATACTTGCTCGAGCAATATACTTGCACGAGCAAGGAAGAGCTCTAGCAGCAAGCTCTGTGTTCCTATTGCACATGGCACAGGGACTTCCTCCAGCATGACCAGTGTAGTATGTTATGGAGAGGGAGGAAAGGAGTGCAAGGGGAAGTGACTAGTGCTAGACACCATTGAATGTTACCTCCAAACCTTCTCTGTGTTGTAGCATACATAATTGAATGAGCCACATACAGTCACAGAGTGATCTACTTTCGAAAATTATATTTACTCTATTAGTTTTGATCCTGAGGTATTTGACGTCACGTAGCTTACAGTAAATTATCCTCTCAGTTTAGCGTGGTTGAAAAAGTTAGTGTATTTAACAGATACCTCAATACAACTACCTTTAATTTCATTCAATAATTGGCTACTCATTTAAAATGGGAACGTAATACCTACTAACAGTAGTCAAATGTCAAAAATTGTACACTACTACCACTACACAAATTGCCAATACCCACAATGCACCTGTAGCCCTGATTGTTGTGTTTGTTAATAGGACCCCATGTCTCACAGGATCATAGAGAAGCGAAGGAGAGACCGTATGAACAACTGTCTCGCCGACCTTTCTCGACTGATACCTGCAGACTACATGAAGAAGGGGCGAGGCCGCATTGAGAAGACTGAGATCATCGAGATGGCCATCAAACACATGAAACATCTGCAAGACCATCACTCTACATGCCACTTAGGTTAGGATCTTTTCCTTTATTTACTGCACTAAACCTAATTTTGTAAAATTTGAAAATTGTTGGTGTCCCCCAAGGATCAATTTTGGGCCCACTTCTTTTTTACTGTTGCATTAGTACTTAGATCACTCTTTTTCAAATAAGAGAAAACTTGTTCTTCTTAGAGAAAATTCAGAAGGGTTTTAATGGTTCAAAGTTGGACTCATCAGTCCTTGACTGTTGGGATGTTAAAAGGTCCTGGCTGAAGAAATATCTGATCTTAGCAACAAAGCTGTTATCTCATTCATTCAACGTTCAGGTTAACTTTATGATTCGCACACTGATGTGATGACATAATGTAAAATATAATATAATTTACATTCTCTTTTACAAGGGTTTTGGATCCCTATTACATACATGTGCCTTTCACCTAAGATGAATGAATTGTAAACTAGCAAAAGCATTGCATATTTCAACTTGGAACTATGATTAATCCCACTAATCATCTCCAGTACAACCATTAGTAACACCTTTTCTGTCTGCGCAGGCAATTGTGAGATCGAGCACAACCCCAGCATGGAGTCCGAGGAATCATACTCTCCGCCAGAGAGCAACACGAGAGTCGCCAAGCAGCACATGACAGCTGCAGTGTTGCCAACCCATGAGAACGTTCGGCTACTCGAGGTGAACGGCTCAGCGCAAATCACCGAAGAACATTACCGGCTCGGATACCACGAGTGTCTCTCGGAAACTATGCATTTCCTGGTGGAGGTGGAGGGGATGTTCGCCGGAGATAAACTCTGTGTGCAGCTCATCTCTCACTTACAGAGGCACTGCGATAAAATATTAAAAGGTTTGTTACACTTTGGAATTGATTATTGTATTGCTATGTTCTTTGATGTAGGTATAAAGTTTTTGCCTGAATATCGAGTCGTAGTTCTTCAAGAAAATATCATATTGTGGACATTAAATGGTTCTTCATCTTTTAGCTTTTTTACCAGCGAAGGGATTGATCACATTTAGTATAGTAGAACAATGTCATTTCTCTAATCAAGCAAAGTATAAGTTTTCTTAAAGTGATTCAAAACATTGCTTACCTGGGTTTTATAAAATGTTGACTAGATATATTCTTTCTTTGATGTGTACTGCTTTCAATTTGAATGGTTGAGAAACAGAGATAAAACTAGTCAACATGTATACATCACCAGTTAAATCCAAATAAGAATTGATTCCACACCCAGTTGATATCCTCAGTTGAAGTATATAAAATATTCTACAATGTTTTCCAACAACATGTAGATTAAGCAAAGGCCAGGATTTTCTCTTGCCATTCAAAAATCTGAAAGATAAGGTAAAAATTATCAAACACAAAATTAATAAAACAATAAGCACTACTGTGTTGTTACTTAATTGATTTGAGAAATACTTTTTCCTAAGCATAATTCTAAAAGCTTCCAAAGTATTAGTGCTACTCTAAGCACGCAAGTTTAGTATTTTTCTCATAATCACCTATTTTCTTGCAGGAGGAGGATTAAACAATCCCAGAGTCCACCCAGAGACTAGTTCCAGCAGCAAAGAGCGAAGTTCTGGCTCAGGGTCGGGATCTAGCAGCGATGGCGGAGAACGGCAGACGACGGACAACTTCTACAACAGCGCAAGTCAACTGCGAGACATACTCACAAGCAACTCCTTGCCTCAGAACAGACGAGAGGTAATTTAGCAATTGTTTCTTATTCAAAGATTGTCACAACTTTTTACCAGTTAAGACTAACAGAAAACATCACATGCTATACGTACATAAATCCAATTTGCTGAGGATTGCACCTGAAATTTGCAGCAACAACACAATTCTTGAACTACTTAGCTACTCATTTTATTTGGAGCATTGTAAGGGAGGGTAGGTTTGATCGGTTGCTGAGTATTCTAAGGCCGTTCTAAGGCACTGCGCTCTACCCAGGAGACTAGTCCCAATAGATCAACCTCAAATCTGGTCTCATGTTTTTATGTGCACATTATAAGAAGTTCTGTCATTGACTATAGATTGACTAGTAGCGAGTATTCATTACATTTTTATCCTCTAGAAATATAACAGCTAATCAGGCTTTTTAAAACCTTCCGTTCATGTGTCAAGAAGATTACTTTATGCAAAAGAGAAATGTCAAATAAATAGTTATGATTAAATTAATTTACATCCCATACTATTAAAAGGTTTAAAAGTTATTATTACACAATAGCAATTCACTTATTCAACATACATAGGACTACAGAAAGACACAATATATATTACAGAACAAAATAAATTGTTAAAACGGTTGGCTCTTTTAAGCTTTTTGACAAAATGAATATAATCCAGCTGAATCTGCATGTTAGGAGTTGGTTTATTAATTTAGTAGACATCATAAACTCTTAGGTGAAATGGTACACAAGGGTATAATAGTTAAAGTAGTTGATACAGCAAATAAAATCTAGCCTACTCCTTCAAAATAATTTAAATTATTTAAAGATAATTTTTTAGTCTTTAATTAGACAATAAATTACTTTTACAGGACTGCCAGACTACGGATACGGGAAGTCAGGTGTGTTTCTGAATTTAAATTCATTTGCTCTGTTGTGAGATTGAGTTTTACACTACTTAAGACTATTTAAGGTCTAAATATGGTTTAGCCTTAATTTCCTGTGTCGAGTACTTTGTGGTTACATGCTAAAACATTTGTCTAATTTTGTTTGTCCTTAGTAGTTTTTAGTTTTTTTATCATTTTTTTTTTTATAAGAGTACAATTAATTAATTCTTTATCTGGTTTTTATGTGTGAAAATTTATGTCTATGGCATTGAGGATGGGCAAAGTTAAAACCTCTTAAAAGAAACCAAACTAACTCCTTCAACAAGCTGTTAAAGAGTTGTAGTTACTTAAAAGGAAAATTACCTCAAAGTAAGTTAAATCATAATTTTACATATTTATATATTTTTGTAATGTCTCCAATTGGTAAATATTTTATCAATTACTTTGCTTCCAGATGGTTCCCGAGCCGCCCTCCCCGCCCAACTCAGTCAACGGAACGTCTCTCCCCCACGACAACCATTCATCCTCCGGCTCACTCTACAAGTTCAAAAACAACATCAAGCAACGATTCAGTGCCGAACACTCCGGCAGTGTGGAACAATCTCATCCCATATCCTTGAAGCGACGTCGCTCCGACGACTGGAGAAGACCGAGCGACACTTCGTCCATCCCTTCCCCTCCGCCGGTTAGGTATCCCCCCACCAGTCCTGCGTCACCACCGCCCGCACACTCGTCAACTCCCGGAGTACCGATTTTCGCGTTGCATTCCAAAGGCTCTTTCTATATCCCACTCACCATCGACCATCACGTACTTGCGCCATTCCTCGCCGAACTTGGCAACGTTGAAACCAATCTCGCCAATATAGTGCTGCATCCTGTCACGATATCCGTTAACTTCCAACAGACGATATCCAGGCCAATGAAACATCCTCAGGGTTGTTATCCCCCCGACTGGAGTTCGACCCCTTCCAGTTACCTCCCCCTCTCCAAGTGGGCTGTCTGTGCTCCTGACAGAAACTGAAGTGTTGTTTACCTGAAAAGTTGACAAACATTGTGAGAAAGGGAGCGTAAATCAACTATGCTGAAAATACTTAGTCATTTCAGCTGAAAAGTTATGTACGCTTGGGTGTTTTTTTATACTTGTTATCCTAACTAATGTTTCATGTAACTTGTTTTCTCTAATGGTACCTGTCTCAATTTGCATTTCCCTTGTTGTAACTGCGTTATAACGAGCCTACCCTGTGTGGGTGCCAGTTTGTTGTGAAGTTGCGTAGTTTTGTAGTCGGGCTGATAAACTTTGTCCACTTTTTACTTACATTGTTACATAATATAAATTGTTAAAAATATTGATAGTATTAAGTAAATAAGTCGCTCTAAGTAACAAGAGTCTGTTGCTCCCACAAAGTTCATCACAAAATCGTTTGTTGCGAGATATTGTTATGTCATTAAATTAGTTAAAAGAGCTTTATCAAATGTTTAAAAATAAGATTAAGCTGTTTCCAAACTCAAACATGTATGGCTATTTCCCATTAGCACTAATCCAAATTATCAATTTTAAGTCATTAAGTGGCCAGTGGAAATTTATTGTCGATGTATTGAATGTTTGTCAACCTTTGTTATTGGAGTTTGACTATTTAATTTAGTTAATGTAAAGTTAACAACCCTAGTAAATATTTTTTCCGGTTAAGAATTGTTTACAAATTCATAAATAGCGTAGTTTGTCTTGAATCAAATAACATAACAAAAGTTCCTATTGTAAATGATTTATTTTATTGTAGAAAGTTTTGTTACTAAATTGTTTAGGTGAATGATTGCCGAGTTTTTTTACCAACATTTTATCAATAAGAGTAAGAAGAAACTTTGAATGAAAATGTATTGAAATTTTCGCATTCAAACCAAATAGAATCATATAATACTCAATATTCAATAACAAAAATAATTGTAAACCACAATGTGATTTCACAGTTACCATTTTTTAGTTCATGTGCAGAGCAAAATATCTAGATAATAAATCTATTTGTTAACTTATTATTCTAGCTGTGTATAAAGCAATTCACGATTTAATATATTTTCAGCTTTATTGCTAAAGCAAAATTTCATAACATACATCATTTTTCAATTTGCAAGTTAAAAACAGCTGATATCCAATCAGGGAAACATTCAGGTAAATCTTGGGATTTCCCACCATTTTATATCGTAGTTTGTTGCAGTGGTGTAGTAAGGTGGAAATCTGTCTTTTTCCAAAATATGTTCCCGCACTGGAAAATTTACCCCACCACTGGTTTGTCTTTTTTATCATTACCCGTTAACGGGCGCGTTAGGTGTTGATTGTTTTCAAATAAGACCTCGGATGTCTCGGTCTAAGTCGTGCATGATCTAATCTCAATGGTGCTGTGATGTAAGCGATTCCCTGTGCCTCTGATCGAAGTTGTTGAATTTTGTGTAACTCAGTGTTTAGTTGTTTAACTGACTGATGATGTATAGAAAGATGTTTGTATATATTTTGAAAATTTATGTTTAGTTTTAAGTTAGAGAAATAAAATATGTTATTATTTGCAGTTACATTTGAAGTCTTTATTCATGCCCTGTTCCTAAAATTACCTTTTTGTACCAAATAGCAGTTTTCAATACACGCGTTGCGGGTCTACAGTAGCTCTTTTTACCCCTAAGAGTAAAAATCTACTGAGCCGAGGGGGGAGGAGGGAAAATTATCCGTATCCTCTCTTGTAAACTTCGATTGTAATAGCACAGAGTAAGGAGAGTAGACCCTGGTCTGTTCTCTATAATCTATGGCAATAGCTTGTATCGGAAGTGTGTATAATTGTGAGAAGTTATCTTTATATGACAAGTTCACGGGCAAAATTTTTTTTTCAATCCTCGCTCATTTTCCTTGTTAAACTTGAGCTTGGGTCAAAAAATTAAAATATACTATTTTATTGTTAAATAAAATGCAGGTACTGTGTACGTAATTAAATTCAAGAACTGTTTGTTTTGAAAACCCCCTCTGACATAAAGCCTTGAACCGTCGTTAAAATACCTGGCAAAATCTGCGATAGCACAGTCAGCACATAGAGTTCACGAGGGATATTAACACACTGCAATATAATAAGTTCAATGTATTTATTTTTTTAAATTAGTTATTGTAAACAAATATTATGTTTTCCTAAGCTGGATACATAAGTAAAACAAATTTTTTGGTAACTTCTAACAAACTAAAAAAGTATAAAAATTAAGTATTTTAATCAGTGGGATTATTAACTACTTCAACAATCAGTGAATGCATTGAGAGAAATTCACCTCCATTTACATCAACTATTGCTGTTACAATTTTGAACAATCGGCTTGGATGCAAAGGTTTAAAATAATTTTACTTTCTTGGAGTTGGATCTACACTTTTTTGTGATGTGTAATTTCAATTAACAATAACAAGTAGAGTTGTTGAGTGTGCATAATTTTTAGAACAGACACCATTTTAACCTTCCTACCTCCCATTTTAAAATAGTGACTTGTTACTGATTCAGAATTCTTGAACGAGACAAAATAAAAGATTAGTGAAAGAGACAAATGCGGATTTATCAAAGAGAAAATATTTTTATCTAATGATTCTGTATTGAATTGAACAAAAAATGAAAGTGAAGAAACAAAAGATCTTGCAAATTTGTATTGTGTTGTATCTATTAAAAGGGTGTCTGTTAAGTTATAACAGTACAATTAAGTTTCTCTTTCCAAGCCTAAAGAGGATAATTAAAATTTATTTCGCTGAGAACACCCATATGGTTCTTTTACACACAAAACTAGTCATAAAACTAGGAACTAATCCCTTACTCTTAATATTTAGGGGCCCATACCACAAAATATACAAAAAGAATCTACTTTCATTCCTTCAACATTGTGCTTTTTATTTATAATAGTGTGAAAAACAACAACTGATTGCCAACTATAAACTCAATTTGGTTAGCTGACTACAAATATGAAGTTAAAGGTTAAATATAATTTGGCTGTAGCACTTTCTTTGAGTGGTGTAATTCAAGTAATCTTAAATGGTTTTGTTCAATCTTTGTGACATTTATAGAGTACATTTTTTTAAAGTTGGTTTAAAAACTTTCAAATTCTGAAAATTGTAAATTCAACGTATAAAAATAAAAATAGTGTATATTTACATGGTAAGGGCCACACAATGAGCATTTAACATAATAATTCAAAAACAAATAAATGAAATAATTATCTTCCAATACCGATTACAACCTCCAACAGTTTCACGTCCAATCCCTGTCACTCAAATGCATTACATCTCTTAACATAAAAATATTAGTAAATTCAATAAAACATTTTAATAATGTTAATACGACAAAACTTAACATACATTTGGTACAAAAATAAGCTAAATAATCTAATGACAAACAGAAAACAAGCGAAGCGAATATTAATCGTGAAAATGTTACAATTGAGTACTCTGTTACTATGAGCGCTATACCACAAAAGCTGTTTATTCTATGTACATCTATCCTGGCTTCAGGAACTGTGTATATGTACATAAACTGTAACTCAAATTAACTCCTACTGCTACATTATATACTTACTGAGAACTGTTGCAAAATAATTGACCTTGTAAAACTTAAGTTTGGATCCACCTAATTGAAACAATGTTATCGTTATACGTAGGTTGAGTAGATTTATTATGTACTGATATGACGTTCATATTTATTACTAACCAAATTTATTACTGAGTACAAATTATAAACAATATTGGTAAAGTGGTATTACAAAGTAATTTTCTATTCCAATTCTAGAGATAAAATGTTTGGAAACGTGGTATGTTTTGTTTAGAAATAAATATACAGGTAAAATTTTTTCAAAACTTTTCTTAGTACAGTAGAACCTCAAAAACATGACTCATGGGGATTATTAGATAAGACTAGTTATCAAGGTAAACTTCTTATCGAGGTTTACTTGACTTTAATACATTTCATTGAAATAATGGTGACCATACAAAGTAGGTATTTTAAGCCAAGTATGAATGGAGATGAGTGTAGGATGAGTGGCGCGATCTTGTAGTCTTGTTAGGGACTGAGGCTGACATATTCCTTAGACACAGCTGTTAATTAACAGCCCATACAGCCAATGGCAACTAAGGGACCTACAGTTTATAGTGGAATCCGAACGATATTTTTGCCTTGTAATTAACGAATTGGTCTAATCATCAGAATAGTACTGCGGATAGTCGTAGTACTCACTAGTGCTGATGTTGATCCACACCAAGGAGTAATGCATCCACAGTGCATGCCTATAAATATCCACAATTCGTGACCTTCTAGTACAGTAGACTCTCGCTCATCCGGACTAATGTAGCGGACGTCCAGTCCGGATTACGACTATCTAGAGTCGAGCAAATACAGTACTGTATATAGCCGTTTTTTTTTTCAATTTTGTTCAAGTCCACAGTACTGATAGCCGGGCAAATGCAGTTCCACCAGTAATGAATCTTTCTTTTCGGGACGAGTTGGTAAAGAAATATCTGTTCATTTAATCATTAATCACTTATTACTGTACTGTAATAATAAACCATATTCAATAAAATTTTTGTCTAATTATAACCTATAATTTTCACTTTGTTATTAGAGTTTTTCATAATCCGAAGTAGTCTCCGTTCAGTTTAGCTTGAATAATTGGACTTCTACTGTACTGTGCCACTAGAAAAAAAAATCACGATTGCCGATCCGGACGAGCGGGAGTCCGGGCAAGGCCGATACGGACGAGTCTACTGTAGCTGGATTACAGGACGACGCCACCGTTGTGATTGGGGGTAAAATAAATTCAAGGGGATTTGAAAATGACACTTTGTTATCGAAGTTCTACTGTACTATTTTACAAAGTTTTTAATTACACTGCCTTTTTTTCTTTAAGTTATTGTCATTTTCCTAAACATACATTGGACTAGTTATTAGTATTTTCGGTGGGAAAGTGATAGGTTCAGGGGTTCAATCCCTAACATAGACAAAACTTAGATTGGACCACTTAGTGTTTAACACTCTTAAAAAAACCAAGTGCAGTCATAGAACAAAGTAGTAAGTTCAGTGTAAGAACAAAAAACTTCATGAAACAAAACATACCACATTTCTTTTAAATTCCAATAAAACAATACTACAAAAACCACTAATGATTACTCAATAAATACAATGTTTAAAGGAGCACAATGGTGGTAATATATGTTATCGCATAATATATAATTCAATAGTATTCCTAATTTATCCTTTTCACATAATACAAAAATACCACAAGCTAGTGTTGTGTTTTTGGAACTCAGTTGGGATTATCAAAGCAAAGTTCTATAAACAGTTTTATAGAAGTTAAATACATAAAAAACAAATTGGTAATGTAATTACTACATTAAATCAACATCGCATTGGATTGCTGGGTTTAACAAAATCGTTTTGGGACTAAAACCATAGAGAAACTTCAGGGTGATGTTAAATAGTAATAATCGTTTACGTTAGTTAAACTGTGCACAGTCTAAACTATCTTTAAAAGGTTGAAAATGATGTTAAACATAAAAGTATTGTTGTATTTCAGTTTAGACTGACTTAGTCTGTGAGAAAAAGTCTAAGGATTTTTTATAATCTCAATTATAACAATTAACCTTAGAAATACCAGGATTAAAAATTATCCTCGTTGAAATCTATTTTTAAGTAACAAATTTGAAAACAAAAGTGCACATGCTTGTAAAAGTTCAAGCATTTTCACAGCTCATTATTTATCATAAATTATATCAGACTTGTGATTTAGTGATGACTAAAGATTTTTTCATCCGTTGACCTTATGGTGTGATAGAACTTTTTTTTAAATTTTTTAAAGCAAATTTCCTAATTTATTATATTTTATAACTAAATAACCTAACATTGTTTGAAACGAAATGCATTAACATGGGCAGAGATACAAATTTGCTAACATTGATCAAACCTAAATGCATTACCAATTATCTTAAAACTTGTTGGCAATTAATTACCTAATATATAAGACGTTAATGTCCTGAATACGTCAAAGTTTGACCTATCATTTTTTATATAAATAAATAAAATTCAAGCATTTACGAACAAAATTTATAATAAGTTCTACCAATACAAGGTTTAAAGCAAAAATAAATACACTTATTCATCAGTAAACCACGAAGTCGAAAGATGAGATTTACATAATTATTGTAAATCAATTAATTTAACTACATAAACCAACTACATTGAAGTTTCTCTAAATTGTAAAGAAATTTAACTACAAATTGAATTATTGATAAATCAATATCAATCAAATAGATATTTAGATCCATAAAAAAAGTGCACAGTTCACCAGGTATTTAAAAGCAGGATGAAATGCAAAAATACTTTTTAGCATTGTAGCATGCAGTAGGCTACACAATGGAATTTCTGAAAATTAAATGACTAGCGAGATATTTACTCCGTTCTATAACACAAACAACAAACGCAGAATAGGAAGATTATTATCGATTGAGCACTGACCCTTCGTCTTTCGCTGACGTCGAATTGCGATCAGATTCGTGTACGGATTCCGACCCATAGGGTTTGCATTGTACAAATGCTAGTTTCTTAAACTCTTAAAACGTATTTGTCTGACAAACATGACTAATTCTTTACAGAATGATAAACAACAAATTAAATACAAACAAATTATATTACATTCTGAGATTATTCTTATTTACACGAAAATAAGACTGTATACTTAATCTGCTAACTTTGGTATGAATGGCATAACTCAGGCACAAATTGTAGTGTCTGGTCGCTCCGACCATCTGTAACAAAAGATAAGATTTCCAGTTTATTTTTCAAGCAAATGTCACAAAAGTCAACAAGATACACAATTTAGACACAGGCACAATCAGTAGAATTTTAAGATTAAAGTAAACGAGGTGTTAGCCCGTCCTACGTACGGGAATTCAGTAGTCAGTTAAAACTGTGTACAATTCAGATCAGCTAGTTTACACAAATAAAGGCAAAGTTTCTTGCAGTTTTAATGTGAAAAATCATCTTGTAAACAAATTTTGTGCGACCAAATATGTTTTTATTCCATCATAGGCCTATACGATAATATGCATTTTAAATCCAATAATTTTACAATAAAACAGCAATTCTGCAATTTTTACGTTGTGAAAAGCGTTGAAGTGAGATTTGCAGCCGATTCGCACATACGCACACTGATTTTAAGTAGCCTACGGTGAGTAATAGCATTGACTATACACCTAGTCAATGGTAATAGTCAATTGAGAAGTGTATAGACCTAGTCAACGATACCACCTTCCATAGCATACCTGCCTCTTCCATAATTATTATCACCACAATTTCCAGTAGGTCTGAATAGAAACGACCTAAAATAAAACGATAATATCCAATAAAATTCACAGTACACATAATTTAACTTTGGTGTCCTAACATCAAAACTAATCGTCAAATTTCCCTGTTTTAATTGCTAAATAAATAAGTGTAAACAAAGAAAAGTAAAAACAATAACAGTTTGTTTTGAAACAGCTGTTTGGTTCAAATAACATTCATTTGAAAAAAAGAACTGGTCACATGTAGCAGGAATATAAAAAGTAAACACGCTAGTAAAGCTAATGACGTAATTGTCAATGTTTATTATCCATACCGTTATCAGTTCTATCCTTGATAATTACCCACCCTCATTGAATAAACGTACATCGTAATTTCCCATATTAGTTAATAATTTAAACTATAATATATTCATAGTTGAAATAAAAGTGATTTTTTCACGTTTGGGGGCGCTGATATAGGCACCCCTAAACGTAACCACAGCTGAACACGATTTCATAAAAGGATGGTTTGTTTAATTGCAGTATCCTAGGTCAATGTTGACGTTGTGTTCAATCTATGTCATCCATCCTGTTTATCTTAGTATAAAACCCGGCTGAGGTTGTGGTGGTAATTTAAAATCGTGATTCCAGATAATTCTTGATCTTCTTTTTATGACATCAATATTTCCAGGCCTAATCCAAACAAAGTTAAAACAGACAAACATTAATTGTAAACAAAAAGCTACCATTAAGAATTAAACATGTAAACATTGTTATTTTTCTAATCTTTTCTTGAAAAGTGGAGCAGAAAAATAATTTGCATTTATCCTTTTTTATTAAGACTCGTGTACAGAGCCTCGATTTGTACTGTGGTTTAATTAATTTTGGTTAAAACTGTGGTCTAATTATCTCTACTAATCTTACTTATTTCCTATAATCAATGACAAAATAAGAGTAAATAAAATAGCCTCATAGTTCCATAGTTTATATTTAACCAGCTGTTAGTTAAAACAAATTATATTGCTCTAAAACAAATCGAAGATTACAAAGATTGCTTTAAAAAATAATTTGAACATCCTAGTCTTTTACTATGTATATTTAATTAATCTGTCATCGTCTTACAGAAGAATTGAACGTGTCAATGATTCGCATTACACATAGTATAAATGAGTCAACCCTAAGTATGTCTTTACATTTTTATCCAAATGCTGAATTTGTGACACAAAAGCTGAATGTTTACAGCTGTTATGTTAAGCAAATTATTTTATGCCAAAAGCTAGTTTAGAATCTTAGCGTCGGCTGCTAGACTTTTAAAAAATTAAAACCTTATTTCTAAAAAACTGGGGCCCTAAAGTAAAATTATGGCTTCGACATTCCCTAGTTCTCAAAATTATCTTTCTTTCAACACAAAAATCACGAAAATCCGTCGAGTGGTTGAATCAGAATCGTGAAATAAAAAAACACTGTTTCGTTTTAATATTATAGATGTAACGTTGAATTTTAGAGTACGGTGTTGTATTTAGTGATGGGTGGATCCAAGAAAATGTCGGTACCGGATCCGGATCCAGATACACACTGTCATAAGGGCGGGTTAAAAAAACGTAATTAACAGAATGCCAATTTAAATCATACTGTTTAAAATTAAATTGGTAATATTTAAAGGTATATATCTTATATATAGAGTAATCTCCAGTTGAGCTCATAATCCCTCATTTTTTGGGGACACTAAAACTTTCCAAAATCTTAAAATGAATCTATGTGCTAAGTTTGCACCACCAAAAGGGTATCTGTGTATATTTTACTATAGTTCGATCTTGAGTATGCTATATCGTGGTTTGTGCATGCAGCATCCAATTTATTTATGCCTGGATCACCTCTTGTTAATCTCTTCCTTAAATTCGTTTCAGGCCCACAGTACTGATAGCCGAGTAAGTAAAGTTCTACAGGTGAAATACCCTGTGTCTGTGTACAAGAAGACAATTCTGTGTTCTAACATATTAAATGGGGGAATCTTGACTTTTTATTTACCCTGTATGTACACAGAAAATCTTGTACACAGACACAGGGTATTTTACCTGTAGAATTTCACATACCCGGCTATCAGTAGGCCGGGAGTGTTGCACGACGTCCAAGTGCCACGACGTCCAATAATATTTTTTCAGTGCCACGACGTCCAAAACATAATTTTTGAGTTGTTGCACGACGTCCAAGTGCCACGACGTCCAAAAGTACAGTAACTGCCAAAAATATAGTCTTTCTACAAGCTTTGGACGTCGTGGCACTTGGACGTCGTGAAACAGCGCACTATAGAATTGTAAAAAAGTAACATTTGCACGACATCCAAAGTCGCTGCCAGTTGCACGACGTCCAAGTGCCACGACGTCCAATCAATATTTGACTGTTGCACGACGTCCAAATGCCACGACGTCCAAAGTGCCTGCACACTGTGAACACTGTTTGCCGACCTCCGTGCATACAGTTCGCATTGCAATTATTGAAGGCAACTAGGCCTTGTCAACTGTTTGAAAGTTGTCAACCGCTTCGTCTTCGATTAGTGTTTAAATTATTCAATATCCAATGGTTCTAATTGAACTAATTATTGCATTAGCTTAAATTTTTTATATGTAAAATAAATACTATGTCACCGTAAAATGTAATGATGCAGTATTTCTGTTGTTATGATTGCATAATTGATTTATACAAAATAGAGCTATGTCATAGAAACGAAATAAATAAATGACTACACTATTCACTATATTGTATGATTAATACAATAAATTAATCACTAGCCCAAAAGTAAATATGGTTGGTTTAATGTGAGTAGTGGTAGCATAATTCTAAGTACTGCAGTAGAATAGAATCGTCATACTATATCAATTGGTAGCAAATTTACTCGTAAGATAAAATGTATGCACAGTTTAATAACAGCTGCAAGACTTCCCATAAGTACCGGTATCATTGAAATTGTATAACTTCCATTGAACAGAAATGAGATAAGTAGATATTGATACACAAATATATGAATTTTCATACACTTATAATATGACGAATTCAAAAAAGGTTTATCCGTCAAATGTGCTAAATATTATGTGAACTATTATCACTTATCAACTTTTTAAGCTATAATGGTGTTACTATAGTGGTTAAAAATGTTTCCTGTGAAACATGTATTTTTTAAACTAAAAGAAGGTTTTCTTTTAGTACAAACCTTGCTCTATTAGTGCATACGAAAAATAATTTCACTATTTTACGAGATCAATGTTTGACAACAAATGGTTGAAGCAGATATTCAGAGAGTGTCTCCAGCTGATGCAGTAATAAAAACGTATTTTAGCCATAGCACAGACAATATATAATAACTATGATAGTGGTTTAAATACCTTATTCATGCAATCCAATTGTTGTCTCCACAACTAGTTTCAACCTGCTAGGAGGTCATCATCAGGTGAGTACAAGGATGAATTACTTCATATGAAGGTCGTCAGTAACAGTTTTTTTTTTTTACATTTACACAAACACACGACGAATAATAAACACATAGTGCGCACACATATACGGCCGATAAAAACATTGAACTCGACAATATGTGTGCGTGTTGCTAAAAACCTCCTCCCCTTGACAAAAACATTATCGGCCGTATATGTGTGCGCACTATGTGTTTATTATTCGTCGTGTGTTTGTGTAAATGTAAAAAAAAAAACTGTTACTGACGACCTTCATATGAAGTAATTCATCCTTGTACTCACCTGATGATGACCTCCTAGCAGGTTGAAACTAGTTGTGGAGACAACAATTGGATTGCATGAATAAGGTATTTAAACTACTATCATAGTTATTATTCGCAATCCGGAGGCTACCCACACCATAAATATATAATACTATAATAGTAATCTATCTATCTATCTATCTATCTATACTATTATAAGGAAGAGGTGGTGTCTGTGTGTATGTGTGTATGTGTGTCTGTGTGTTTGTATGAGATAATCTCAAAAAGTACTGAACCGACTGGGCTCAAATTGCACGCAAATGAAGCTACAGCTCCGAGGATACATATTATACAACTATTCCCTCTTCGTTATTGTCCTAGGGCTCTGCCCCGTGGGCTTTCAAAAATTTGAGGTGAGAGATTTTAGAAATATTGATTGATGGTATCCAAGGTAACAAGAGCAAACCTACAAAATTTAAAAATTTAAACAACCAGAGCTAACTGTCAAATGAATTTTGATTTCACAATTCCACATAGCTGGTTCAAACATCCTTATATATAATACGTGAAGGCGATTTCTAAGAAACACTACTCCTCCGTTAATAATGGACGGATTTTTACAAACGACGTGTCAAAATAAAGTATTTTTTGTGTAGACGCCCCCTTTCACCAATTCCCGTAATAAAAATCCTCGGGCTTTGCCCCACAGGCCATCAAAGTGGGATTTTCTCCCATAAGATTAACATGGGGGAATTTAAATATTTAATAGGAAACTTTG